GTTCAATCGATTGGTGGTTGTTTTATGGGATAAGGAAATAACAACATCATAGAAGGTCGATTCTAATTTCAATGGGTTGTAACATATTTGATAAAAATTCTCGAATCGAGATATTTAAAGACAATGGAAGTGTGTACCTTTCTTCGCTTTCGATTTGTCCTGCAACACAAGAGAAGGATGAGCAGTCAATTTTTGTCGGACTTCATCAAAAGCAGAATGATTACTCGAGAACCAATCGGCCCACCATTGAGAGAAACCCGCAGTTGATAAATAATTTGATTCAAAAGCATAGGGATAAAAAAGTAGTGGGGTTTGTGGTAGTAGTTTGGTCAGCTCCCGTCCGATTGTCGATTCACTTAACTTGGATCTTGGGGAAGTATCGAGGGGGAAGAAAGGTAAGGATACTCAAACCAAATTGTCTCGAGAAAAGTTGGGGGTAGTAAGTGATAAACTTAAAATCCTTAGATTGGAAACCCGATACTAATACATCCTGAGTTAAATAATTACTCCACACATCGACTAACTCTGATTGTAACCTAGGAATTAAGGCAGGGAATTTTGACTTAAACCAAGTTGGCCCTCGAAGTTGGTCACTTATTCGTCCAAGATGCACAGTAAAAGGAGCCAAAGTTGAATCGAAATGAAACCTAGTTAACAAAAATTTAAGGTATCTACAGTAAGTCGCTTCGTCGGGTTTGTGGTGAGGATGACGAGAAGACAATCGAGCACCTTCTACATTTACACTCGGGGGGATGGTGGAAGTTGGGGGAATGATACTCTCAAAAATCGAATTCAGCCATAATTGTATAAATCAAATAGGGCCAGAAAAATTTCCTGAAGCTTTGGGGGTACTCAAAATCTCGACAGCCTCATCGAAAGTAGTATATATATGGGCTAACAAAAATTTGGCTAAACATATTCTAGGCTGGCCAGTATGAAGAAGGTAGGCAAGGTTGTAGAGATGGGAGGAAATTTGGATGGATCGAGGGCAGAAAACATAGGTACATAACCAGTACACCAAAAAGGCTATGTGCTCTTCATCAGTTACAGCTATTGATTCGTCATCAATGAAATGCTTCTCGAGGAAATGTCCATAGGCTTTCGATTCCCAATCGATTTTGGACCTTAGGGAATTATCCGAAGGATATGCACCCTTAAAATATTTTTCCCCTGTAGGCTTCAAACCAGTGATCGCAACAACTTCGAACAGGGTAGGCGAAAGGGGACCGCAAGGTAATTCCAAAGCGTGTAATTCCTTATTCCACAGGTGAACAGCAGATAAAAACATAGTCATATCCAAATGAGACAAGTCACATCGAGATAGGTGCAAGAAATCGAAAATCCCCACGTCTCTCCAATGATTCCCGAACTTAGCCTTAACTCTATCGAATCATCTAATGTACAAAGGTTTTTTGGAAGGAGGGCCGTTCGATATACTTTAGAGGAAAGATTCAAAAAATCAATCCTAACTTCAGATTGGTGAACGAGAGCCTGGCTATTTGGGGAAAGATTAAGGGAAGAAAAAGTTCCGCCACAAGAGCGGATAGGACCCCCAAAAGCATAATGCACATCATCAGCAATATAAGGGATGAGTACATGCGTCTCAGCGACCTTCTGGGAAGCCTCCTCCATTAGAGGGACTGGAACAAACTTCTGATTGTTGATCTCTAGAAGGCTAGACGCCAGCGAGGGAAGGGGTGGGGCTGAAAAGTCAGAAGATTTGGATGAGGTTGCCATTTCAATAAGCTGGTAGAGTGGAGGAACAGAGGGCAAAAGGCGAAGTAGTAAGGTTGAAAGACAGAAGCGCAAGGTAGGAGATGAAGATTGCAAGGAGTAAAAGTTCGCGTAAAAAACCAGGGTAAAAGACTAACAAAGAGTTTAAAGGAAAAGCCACCTAAGATACTGGAAACGTCGGAGGCGAAGGGTAATTAATGTGGCGCGTACAGTAAAGCAATAGACTGACGCAATGACGACATAAAGTAAAAAGAAACCTAAAAACCCTGTAAACCCTAAAACCCCAGAAACCCTAAACCCTAAGTTTTGTGGGCCTCCAAACACCAAGGCGGGAATGTTGAAAGAATATAAACGAAAACTATTTATATTCTTTCAAGGGGCATTTTGTTAGTGGAAAATCGAGAAAAGTGATCGAAAAACGAAGGAAAGAAAAATCGAGAAACATGTGATTTATTGATAAATCGAAAAGATGGATGAGAAACTATTCGATGTCCAATTAGAAGTGTGTGGCACATAAAATCGAGAGGTAGAATCAAGAATCGAAGGAATAATAGTTAAATGTCTATTATCGACTAAAAAACCAAGAAATTAGAAGTATATGACGTTAAGGTTAAAAGGAATCGAAAGCAATTCAAAGTTCTCGAGATCTTAAAATCGAAATTGAGGGGAAGGCTAACTTACGTGGATATCGAAACCTCGGCCAAATCATAAAGAGAAGAATAGTTAAACACGCAGATAGGAAGCAATTTTTAACCGTGGCAGAGGTCGAAGATCATGGGAACGTGGGTGCGGTTTTAACACCACAGAAAAGAAACCGCAACAGGCACGAAGAACGTGGTTGCAGTTTCGTTAAACTGCTCCTAAGAGACTACTTGAAAGATGATCTATAAATAGAGCAAAAAATGAAAGAGGAAGAAAAATGGGTGGAAAAATTGGCAGAGAACAGAAATATTAGTGAGAAGTCTATCGGAGAACGACGAACATCATGAAGTTTCTGGCGATCTGGATTTCCATGCTCATTGAGTACCTTTACCGCTTTCTTTATTTTCCCTGGTAATTTACTTTGATGCAGTTTGTCTTTAGCAACTTTAAGTTTCTGTATTTCCGATTCCTTGTCATTTCCTTTAATGAAAGTTAAGTTTCCGCGTTTAAGCTTCTTGCTATTTACATTTCTGTAATCTCGATTTCTTGCTATTTACATTTTTTGCATATTTCGATTTCCCGCCAGTTATATTTTTTGCAATCTCGATTTCCTGCCATTTACATTCTCGCTACTCCAATTTCTCGTCATTTAATGCAATTTGAGGTTTCTGCATTTTTATCTCTTGGCAATTCAATTTTCTGTTCTGCTTTTTGATTCGACGCTTTTATTGCTTTGTTTACTTTGAGCACTTTAAACATAAAATACCAAAAACAGCATTTTCGATACTATGTAAATTTCGATTCTCATACGCATTTCGATTGAAAATCAATTTGCTAGCCTAAGTAAAAAGAACTTGCGTGGTTGAATTTTGATTAGAATCAAAGCCTCTTAAGAATCAGAATCGATCGAAATTCCACCAGAAACAACTACGTTACCGTGTTGCAGTTGTATCATAGCATTTGTCGTATTTCAGTTGCATTACAAAATTTGTTGTATCATCGCGTCATTACGTTTAGTCGTGCTTATTAGAAAAAAAAAAACAAAAAATAAGGTGGGTTAGTGAGTCAACCCACCAACCCATAGTGGGTTGAGCCAAACTGTAAAAATTCTAACTCACTATAAAGTGAGCGGGATTAAATCCACTTATTTTCAACTCAATCCGTGGTGAGTCAAGCGTATGAGTTAGATTGACTCATTTGACACCAATTTACATATACTAACATTGTGATACAAATTAATAATTTATTTTTATTTTCTTTTTATATGTATGACTTTAATGTGTAGTTATCATTTATATTTTGCAATGTTTTTTCTATTATATATATATATATATATATATATATTTTGCAATTTTTATGTGGAATAAAAATTTTGTACATGGTATCTAATTATTTTTTTAATTTAATTCATATTTAAAAATTTTTTCATTTTAATTTGTATTCATTTTTATACAATTTTAACTAGGAAAATTTTAATATTTAAATAATTTATTAAATTATATAATTATTATATTTTTTTATTCTTCCCTATCAAGCAAAGTAACTGCAAATTTTTTACTTTTTTTTCAAATTTAATTAATCTTATTTTCTAATTTATTCTTTTGTTCTTTCTTTTTCTTTCCCATTCCATTAACAGATCAAAATAAAAGCTTAGTGATAATTCTTTTTATTATTATTATTATAAATTTTGAAAAAGATAAAATTCATATATTCTTTTTAAAGTTGATTCATCTATTCCGAAATGTAACTGAAAGTAAAAAGTTCTAAAACACTTTTTTTTTTAATATTTTATGTCAGCATGTTAGAAAAAAAAACAGAAAACGTTTTCATGAATCTTTTTGCTACGTTGAGTATCCACAGATACGTGTTTTTTTTTTTTTTTTTTTTTTTTTTGTGTTGCAGAAAGTAGTCATATATTTAAGTTGAAAACAAAATTATAAATCATAAAAAAACAGATGATAAAACTCTCTTGTAAATATTTTCTTTAATTATGTATGAAGCATGCTAAAAAGATTATTGTAAATCACATTTTACATAATTCTCCAAATAACTTGCGTGTTGCACTAGAATTCACTGCACGAATTTATTTATTCCGTTCAAAGGAAGCGTTGTAATAATAATATAAAAAGTAACGAACTTCGTAACTACACGAATTGCATGTCATATATATCAGCATGAGGTCCCATGTAACGAATTTTTGTTGGATCACATTCAAAGTGGTCTCTTACTTTTCCTTTCTCAAATCAAAACAAATCGCACATCACAAGTCACCAGAACGCACACTTGTTACTTTGCTTTAGGCCAAAGTTGAGCACAAAGGAATATGAGATGCTCAGAACAGAATAAAGGAGTGAGATTAGGAACAAGATAAATGAAAATTTGGCAAAGCATCATGTGTTGGATGCTCGTTGATAACAAAACTAACTCCATTCATAACGATTCCTCTCATTTCAGGCTTAACTGTCATGATTCTCACCATTCTCAAAATAAAATATGAACACAATCCTACTGTGCACCCTTTTAAAAAATTTTAAGGCTACAGCACAAAGTTATCAAATAGGTGAGAGCATGGGGCTTAAGTTTGACCCACCTGCTGGTTTTCTGCATCTATGGCAATTCACAGAATGAAGAGTGATTTGGATTTTGGTCTTGAAATAGCTAGTTGTGATGAGAGGAAACGGCTTTTTTGCATCTGGTTGTGTGGTTTTCAATCATTATCATCTTTGAAGTTGTTTGAGTTTGAAACTTTTGTACTTGAGGGGCTGAGCAATGGAACCTCCGATAGGATTTTGGGCTTCATTATGGAACTTTGTTTGCTTTCTGCCTTTCTTCATCGGTCTTTGGCTTCTTGGCAACATCAAAGGTGAATGTCAATGATTATTTTCTGTGTAGAGCTGTTTTTTTATATGATTTAGGAAATACAAGCCGAACTTAAAGAGATGGAATTTCTTGGTGATCACTTTGCAAACTGTCATACTGTACTAGAACATCTATATATATATGCATACTTTTAGATGATTATTCATGTTGATTTGAAATTTATTTGGCCTTCTTTTTCCTTTGACAATGGTGGAGTGAACATTTGAAGATTGGTAATCTAGCTTGTGTTCATATTTGTTGGAGATTTACTCTTTTTAGTTAGCTGGTGACATATATACACATTGAATGATGTTTCCATGATTGTGTTCTATTTGGAAGGGAAAACAACAAAAAATCTTTGGTTTTGCTGATGATCAATATTGTAGTTTTGTTCATTAATTACAACGAATTTTATGTTATTGGAAATTTAAAAAGGAAAAGAAACCATTTAAATGTCATGACAATACATGTGGTATTTCAAAATTCCAAACATGACAAGGAATTTAACAATTTATATTTTCCTCTAAAGAATATGTAATAGCTGTTTTGTTCTTTCTTTCCCTTTTCTTTGATCATTGTCTACACGTTGCTCTTACCATGGTAGAAGACAAGTGAAGTTTCTGCTTGACTCATTCTCAATCTGTACTATGATTTCAGGTTTCATTTTCTGCCCATTGATATGCTTAATGATGACAATTGGCAACTCAGCTGTCATATATGGTCTTTGGCCCATACATTGTATCTGGACATATTACTGTGTAATTAGGTGCTTACCTTGGCTTCCAGTCTCTCAAATTTGATTTTCTCATTGTTTTAGTCTTGTTATTGTTTCTTGTATTGATTTCCTTAACTTAACAGATCTGAAACATTAGGACCTGCACTGAAGTTTGTTGCATGCACATGTCTACTACCCTTGGTGTTGATTTTATGGCCATTGATTGGCATTGTTGGAAGTGTTATAGGCGGAGCAGCCTATGGATTTCTAGCACCAATATTTGCTACTTTTGAGGCGGTAGAGGGAGGAAAAGAGAACAAACTTTTACACTGTTTTATTGTATGTTTTATTTGAGCTTATTAAAATTCTTGTTAATTTTGTCGTTCTGTTGTTACTCAATACATAAGTTCATATTTCCTCTTCAGGATGGAACATGGACCACTATTACAAAGACCATTGATATTGTCAAGGATGTGAAAAATGAATGCTATTATACTTATTTATCGGTTATGGATGACCTGCTACAACAGAAGGATCCACCTGGCAAATACTATGAAATCAGGTTGTCATTATATTGAGTTTGATTTTTGTTAAACCATTATGTCTAATGAAAGCATACCTTGGAATTTGTTGTACATTCATCAAAATTTTTGGTTTTTGGTAACCAAATGGGGGTTAAGTGGTGTTATTATGCTGTGGCATACTTATAGTATGTTGTAAATAATGATTTTACACACGCATTATTTGCATGGAAAACATTATTATAGCAAGGTGAAAGTAGATTACCAAGAATATATTGACAGACGGTATTATTAACAGCTAGCATCTTTGAATTACAACTCTTATCATGGGATAAGAACTTAATAACAAGTAAAATCTGATGTATGGAAACTTTTAGTGACTAGCATGATTCCTTCCCCGTTAACTGTTACTTCCTAATTTTGCTTCTTTACTAATTTGGTTAAGATGTTGATACTAAATTGTTTTTCTTTCATTCTTCTTTTTGTGTATTTTTTATGTATTTTTATTTGTTTTTAACCAATGATACAACTAGTGAGATGCATTGAAATATTTTGGGAATTCGAAGCAAAACAAAATTGTGGCTATAAAGAAGTCTTCTAGATTGATAAACACATGGCTCATGGAGCTCCATGTTTTGATGCAGGCTGCAATATCTTCCTGGAGCTTTTGTGGTTGCGGTTCTCGGGATCATAGTTGACACGCCAGTTATATCTACTGTTGCTATATGTAAAGGCCCTTACATGCTTTTCAAAGGATGGAATCGTCTGTTTCATGATCTTATAGGTCGTGAAGGCCCTTTCTTGGAGACAATATGTGTGCCCTTTGCAGGCCTTGCTATCATTCTGTGGCCACTGGCTGTTGTTGGGGCGGTTCTGGCATCTGTGTTAGCTAGTTTCTTTCTCGGTGCCTATGCAGGTCTTATTACTTATCAGGTCAACCCTCATACAAGTTTTAAACATCTATTGATACTACTGTTACTAATTTACTGGATCATGTTATGTTGTATTATGCTTAGGTTAGTCTTAACGCAGCTGCATACTTAAAATTTGAACTCGAGACCACTAACTAAACTGGAATATATCCACACACTGATTGGTGTCAATACTGTACTTATAAGGCTTGGACAGTATCTTAGAAGTTAATTTTGGAAAATTGAGGTAGGTTTAAGTCCAATATTTAAAATGATATCAAAGTCTATCTTAAATTCTGTAAGAGGTGCAAAATCCAACATGCACTAAAAAGATTAGTAATGTTATTCTTATAAGGTTTGATAGTCTTCACCTTATAATTATGTAAGATTGAGCTCCTAAGCCGAAATTCTAAGAGATAAATGGTAGAATATTTGGGATTAGAATAAAAAATATTTCTTGTATGCTCATATGGCCGCATACTGTCCCAACCATAGTTACATCCTCTTCTTAAATCTGGTTTTTAAACAGGCTACATTGTAATATTTATGCTCGAATTCTTAAATATGATATGTATGCCCTGCTGAATACCTCATTCATGGTATTAAAGCACTAATGAGTCATGCGAGAAAATGGCAGAGTTGAGTTCAGCTTGTCGAGAATTTATGAGAGAGGCTAACATGATTCTCACCAATGGGATACAAGTAAACCATGTAAAAGAAAATGACATTACCTTCAATCCGAAACCTTGAGTATTAATCTTACTTGTCCCACCGTTCGCATTATGAGATTTGCTTGTTTAAAACTCTTGAAAAAGACTTTTGACACAAAGATCCATAATTTAGGATTTGTCACCTACTTGAATCATATTCGCTGAGTCATTAATACAATGAGATTCGTTTGTTTTAAACCCTTGTCAAGAAAACCTACTCCAATCATATTCCACTGAGTTATTCACAAAACAAGACTCATTTGGTTGAAATTCTTGTTAGAAAAACTTTCAACACAGATTTGTCACCTACTCCAATCATAGTCGACTAAGCTAGTCACCAAACAAACTGTTTGCTTTAAGAATATAATACTACCTTCAACCCAAAATCATATAAATCATTAGATTATGAGTCTTACTTACTCAGTTTTTCAGTTTTGCTCAGTGTAGGATTTCAACTCACATTTGGGTTCCCAACACAGTCAAACCCTGGCCATAAGCTCCTTCAACAAGGCATTTTAAGTTATGAAAAAATAAACAACAATAAGAAGCAAGCCTTTTTGAAACTATTGATGATGTATGGGTTTCTCATAGGCATTATATGCTTATTTTGTTCCTTAAATTGCAGGAGTCTTCTTTCTTGTTTGGCCTTAGGTACATCGTTGCAGTTGTGTCCCTTTATGATGAATACAGCAATGATATTCTTGACATGAGAGATGGATCCTGCTTCCCAAGGTCTCATTCTGCTATGCTTTGTAATACTTTTTTATGTGACTTGCAGTTAATGCTCTTAACTTGCACCTTTCTCTTGACTTGTGTTTGATAGGCCACACTATCGAGAAACGACTCAATTGAAACCATTATCAAGGACCCCTTCCCGTTCAAATTCCCTCACAAAAACAAAGTCCTTAACGAAGACACTCTCTCATGCCTTGTCACTGAAAAATAATGTACCCGAGTTCAAACCATTTGAGGTATTCTTTGATGTGTCCTCCGAGGACCCAAATATTACTTTTTGTGTTCATGTATACATCAGGCCTTTGGTGGCTGTACTGAATTAACATTGTTCATGAATTGTGTAGCTGTTGGATGGCTTATTCAAGGAATGTCATCATCTTGGAGAATCACTGATTTCTGAAGGGCTAATAACACATGAAGACATTCTAGAAGCAAAGTATGGTAAAGGGGGTAAAGTCATTAGAATTGGCTTGCCAGCTTATTGCCTTCTCCAAGCACTACTTCGTTCTGTAAAATACAATTCTTCTGGTATATTGATAAGTAAGGGATCACTATTTGCACTACTAGTAATCTTTTCCTTCTTTCCTCCCGGATAAAAACTATTATCTTCAAAGTCATACCAAAGATTATTCCTAACAGGTTAACAATGTAAAACTTTTTTACTTATACCAATAGTGCATTTTTATTAAACTCAAGTATATGAGTTTAATTTTCATGTGCTGTGGTATAAAGATATCATTGAACATTTTCCTTTTTCTTTTCCAACTTCCTACTACCCTCTTACTTCTGATTTTATAGATTAATTGCTTTCAATCATCTTCAAGAAATAATTAGGCTTACACTTTCTCCATGTAGGTGAGGATACTGAACTAACTACCTCAAACAAACCGAAGGAACAATTTTTTGAATGGTTCCTTAATCCCCTTTTGGTCATTAAAGAACAAATCAAAGTTGAAGATCTTAGTGTGTCAGAAGAGGACTACTTCGGCAAATTAGTCCTCTTCAATGGTGATCCCAACAGGGTAAGAAAATCATTTATTGGCCTCAGAGCCCCAGAATCTGACCGCAAAAGTGCTGAACTTGATGCATTGGCAAGAAGGTACATATCAAACCAAATCAAATTAGTTGTTTCTATTAACTTTTGTTGGAATTTTCCGCTACGGATTTCCCCCACTCTAATTCTTTCTTCATATATCTTTTGCAAAGGCTTCAGGGGATCACCAAATTCATCACAAGATTCCCTACCTACAAGAGGCGTTTTGATGTTATCTTAAATACACTATCTGATGAGCTTGCTGAGAAGCATGGTGCTTCCAAAATAATCAGATCAAAAAGTGCTTTTCCTCGGATACTAAGTTTAAAATCCTTCACTTGCCAAACATCTAAATCTAATGATTCTGGTCAAGAGTCTGAACATACAATAGATTTGGAAACTTCATTATAGCAACATAATGTTACATTGTTACATAATTTCATCCTGCAAAGCAGATGTAAATCATTACTTGTTGCTTTTGTTATAGTGTCACTTGTAATTGTTGACCCTTTTTGTTTGTTCTACACCTACACTTAGTCATAGAAATGACAGAAATAATTAGCAACAATATTTGTGTATATGCCATTATTCAAGCAAAGTGCAGTTTCCTTTTCACTCATGAGATCAATTAGTCTATTGAGAAAGGTACCAATACGTGAATTGAACATTGTCCACGTGCTTTATATACTTTGAAACGTAGCCAAAGTAGCACCTTAAAACAATGGTGACTAAGCCAATAAACCACCATGACCCATGATCCGTGATTATAGCCTTTTTCTTCTTTTTCTTTTTGGGTATATTTCTGCTTCTCCCGCCAAATTTCCTATCTGAAATTTTTCAACCGAGTTCATTTATAATATAGGATTGGACCCAAATGAACAAGTCAAATTAATCAGAAAAATTCAAAGGCTCCTAGACATGACTTGCAAATAACTGTAATCACCCACTACTCCCATTTCTCGTCCAACTCATGCAAAACCAACTTGGCCACTCTCTCTATCAACATCTATATATAAGAACTAACCCTCTTTTCTTCCTCATTGCATACTACACCATAGTGTGACAGTTTTACACAAACTTTTGCACTCACTCTCCTCTTGCCTCTCTCATACTTCCAATGGCTTCTTCTTGTTCCACTTCGCTACTAGTGCTTCTCTTGGCCATTTTCTCCACTCTTACATGTTTCTCTATAGCTTTCAATGAGTTCCAAGTAGGTGACTCAATAGGGTGGGTTGTCCCACCCCACAATGACACCAACTTCTACAATGAATGGGCTTCCCGCAACAGGTTCCTCGCTGGTGACACCATCTGTAAGCACTGCATCACTCTCTAAATCCCATTTCATAATTAGTACAAAGATTTTAACTTGCAGTCTCATCGTGATCCGTAATATTGTAGAAAATTTGCAAACAAATACGTCTGGCGACCACATTGTGATATGTTGTCACAGAAACTCCAAATCCCTAGTGTGGTGACTGCAATCGCGCCATCACGAACCAATTTTTCATATCTGCATGAAACAAATTTTTTAAAACCTTGATATTACAAAAAATTGCAGACAAATATGCTAACGTAGCCACGACTACATTAGCCATGTGGTCTTAGAAACTCCAAAAGCCTTGATGTTGTGACATGTTTTAAAAGATTGTTTCATACATGCATTGAAAAACTGTTACATGTGTTACAATTTTCATAGCTACATCTAATATTGCAGAAACCATAATGTTCTTGAAACTCTTCATGAAACAAAATTTTTCTTCATGCGGGAATTGGTGCATGTGTTTTTAAAGCAGTTTGCTATTTTAAATGCAGGGTTTAAGTACAAGAAGGACTCAGTGATGGAGGTGGGTGAAGTGGATTACACACACTGCAATGCCACACACCCCACACGCTTCTCCAACAGTGGCAACACTCAATTCAAGCTTGTTCACTCAGGGACCTTCTACTTCATCAGTGGTGCTTCAGGGCACTGTGAGATGGGACAGAAGATGATTGTGAGGGTCATGGAGGATGAATCTCATCCTCAGCATGCCAAGTCTTCTGGTTACCAAGTTCCAGTTTCGCCAATTGGGGTGTCTCAAATGCTTTTCCTCAGTTTCTTTTGGCCTGTGTTGCGTCTTATGTAGTTGGAGTGATTAGGAAAATTCAATAGGTGTGTTAGCAATGGAATGTGTAATGTGTTCTTTGTTCATTGTTCATATGTTTCTACATAGTTAAGGTTTTGCATTGATTTCGCATGGTAGTGTTGTGTTGAATATTATATTATGTGTTTATTTAACCACCTATGTATACGTGAAATGCAATGTATTATTTACAATTTTATTCATAATTTTATATCATTGAATTACAGTTTTATATTATCATAATTATTTATATCAATCTTCATTAATAATAGTAATAAAGTGATAGTATAAATCATATTTGAGTATAGTGTAAAGATTTTTACGTTAATTTCATATGTATAAATAAAACAACAAATAATTATAGATAAGTATAAAGTTTTGTATGTAAAATATGATCAATGGGTGAATATTTGATACGCAATTTTAAAAGTTAGTTTAAATTATGCATTTTATACAATACTGCTAAGTATTTAAATTATATCGCATCATATCGCATGAGTTACACGATTTGGGACTTTCAACCGCTGATATATTCTTTGAAATCAACATCAGATCAGCAAGTAATCAAATGAAGGTATTTCACCATCTTTACATAAAGAGGAATCTCATGCTCTGTAAAGTAGTTATATGTAAATCGTCCTTGACTCATTATCTACTGATCTTCAGTATGAATCTCAAGAATAACAGAATGTAAATGGTTTAAGAACTTAAAAGAAAAAAGAAAAGAATTTGATGCCTCAGAAAATTGTAAAAATATGATTACCGAGGTATCTTGCTGTCTTACATTCTAGTTTCAATTTAAACTCACACTTTTCACTTACTCTATGATGTATCTGGTGTGAACACTGAAATGTTCTCTTGTAATATTGTATCAGATATTTTTTGCTTGAATATTCCTTCCATTCTAAATTTTATACTTTTCTTTGCCATATTTTTTGTCTTAGTTTGACTCTCTTAAGTTTAAACTAAAACTTTTATTTTAGTTTCTATCGAAACAAATTAGTTATTTTCTCAATAGTTTATATTAATATAGCTACTTTTTTACTAACATGACAGACAATCATTTGTTTTGCATCCCTTACAGTTTGCCACATATCACTAAATTGACCAAATGAGTGTGGTAAATTGCCAGAAAAACTAAATTGATCTACCAGAGACATTATAAGAGACTATAGTGAAAACCCATAAAGTAAGATGAAGAACCTTAAGCTATGTAGTTGTTTGTAACCAACAGATTTACATTCCTTTACATGGAGGAATTAAATTTATGGAAAAAGCTAATATTCAACTAGAACATTAAGCTATACTCATATAACCTTTCTTTTGATGGATTATGTTCCGTCCAAAAAAATAAGAATATTCCGATTCCAACTCTGTAATAATATTGTTAGAGTGAATCATCACGTCTGAGTTATTATTTATTTTAAAATTCTATTCCATTATAATTTTATGTTTATAAGTTCTGTATCATTTAAAAATCAAGACAAAAAATATATTCTTGTTTCTAAACAAAACATTTCTTTTTAATGATGGAGACTTCGGTCTTATTTGACATCATCTTCCTTTTTCAACACTATTTGCTATATCCTGCAAAAAGTAGCAGATCAGTGGCCACTGCAAAACCCAACAACGCAAAAGCTTCATTTGATCAATCATTACCAGAGAATGCTTGATGTGTAGTTTCATTCATGAATTAATCCTTTTGGAATTAAGCCAGCTTCCAAATGTGGTTGAACCTGCTCTGTCATCAACAGAATAAATGTGAAAAAAATGCTTGAAAGTCTTTGATCTCTTTTCAAATCTATTGCTTTTGATTAGTAAGCTGCATGAAAAAAATTCCAACCCTTGTAAATATCTGTGAATCTCAGACCAATTACTGTGTCAATATTTCAACTCTATGTGGACGAGCTTACAGCATTAGTTCTGTTAAGGTTTCAACATAAAACCAATTGGCTATATGTGGAGTAGCCTAACATGTATTTAAACCATACCAAATGATATGAGGTAGGCGATGTGGGACTTTCAACACACCCCCTCCAACGAAGTCCGCCGGACCAGGCAAATGGTACTTTTGACCCAACTAAAGGGCAACTTTTTGGCCCATGACAATAACCGGAAAGATGTTAGGCTTTGGCTCTGATACCATGTTAAGGTTTCAACATAAAACCAATTGGCTATATGTGGAGTAGCCTAACATGTATTTAAACCATACCAAATGATATGAGGTAGGCGATGTGGGACTTTCAACAAGTTCCATGACTTCTAAATTCAATGATAATAAAAAACAAAATGAATTGACAAGACAAGAATAGGAATGTTTTGTTAGTCTTTTGATGAATACAGTTTGAAATGTGATTTTACCCTGAAGATATCGTATGCTGGGTTGCAATTTAATTTAAATATCAATGTGACACCGATAATATGACTGGGAAATGAAACTGTTGTAAATTTAAACACATCAGGAAAGCTTCTGTTGGTAAACTTTGAGGGCTTCAAGAATGAGAAATTATTTTGTCTTCTTAATTATTTTGATTTTCTCTCTTCGTAATTGAATAGATAAATCATGAATTGATTTGTTCTCCTCGATTATATACAATAACATTCCTATTAGGCTAGAAAAATTAGATAATCAGATATTTGTATTTATGAGTATTAGTTATCATTAAATGCTAGAAGGAATAACAATGTAGAAAGACATGAAACTATTTTTTCTGACATGATATCAAAACCCAAAGTTCTTCTTCTATGCTCTATTTCAATTCTTGGAATATGACTTATTTATCTGTTGAGTAACTTCGCTTAATGTTAATTAATCTTAAATTGAAATCTAATGTCGATAGGATTACCCTGCTCACTTTTCATTATAATATGATCTCCATTTTGGTTATTTATTTTGTAATTTATTATCTAATTCTGCATCAAACAAGACATCATATATATTGTCATTACTTCAATATCATTAGTTCCTCAATTTATATTCATGGAAGAACTAAAGCCTATTATTTTGTTCTTTGAAATCACAATGGTCAATGTTTATGGTTTATAGCCATTTGAAGTTTCTCTCGTCCTAATTTTTGTCAAGTATCCTTTTGAACACATTTTTTTATGCAGAAAACCTCTGAACATAGTTTGTAATATTAACCTTCTAATAAGTATTTGTAGTCTGAATCATTGGGAAAGAGAAGGAAAAAACTTGAAGAATAAATCCACACCAGTGTTTCAACTTCCAAGCTTAAAGAAATAGCATCTCTCATCAGAGAAATAATCTATTTTAGTATACATTTTTCACAGCCTACATGATTGAGTAAATGAGTGTGGGTAAGCCACAATAATATATTCTAATTAGTTGGAAAATTTGTCTGCAAGGAAAGTATTTTGATGGCACCATATGACTTTATTGATTGTGAAGTTAAGGCTGCGGAGGAATTATTTCGTCTGGAGCCTAAGTTGGAATTTGTAGAGTATCTTCAACCGTAATTTTTATGTGGATTCTTTAAGTCTAGAGCTTTTTAATTTGACTCATCATGAGAGTGTTCAAGGGAAGGGTACATAATATGAAGGAATTCACACTTGAGGAGGGAGATTGTTAAAAAATACAAGTGTGATTCTAAATCCCACATTAAGTAAGAATGAGAAAGTTGAGTCATACATTTAAGGATGTATGACTCAACTTTCTCATTCTTACCCAATGTGGGACTTAGAATCACACTTGTATTTCCTAATAATCTCCCTCCTCAAGTGTGAACTCCTCCACATTATGTACCCTCCCTGCGAACACACTAGTGGTCCTTCCATATACCACCATTTACTCTAACTGGACACGCTTACCTGACCCATTCTGTCAAAAAGACTTTCGATACAAAAACCACTCTAACTCACTGCCGATCAACCTTCGGCTTTGATACCACTTGTTGGGTCTTTTGAGGGGGGATTCACAAGGGAGAAACACACCAATGAGACATGAGCCCAACCCACATAAGGATTGACACCATTCTCAACCCAAAACCTTAAGATATTAGGTTATGGGTCATACTTTTTTATATGTTGCTCAACTTTCTCATTCTTTATATGATAATTGATTCTTAATCATTTACGACCCATTTGAAATAAATAGAAAGATGTTAAGAAGTTGTGGAACTTATTCTTTACTTCTCAAAGAAGTACACTATAAAAATTCTTGAAATTGACGTGACAAAGTATGATTCAAAAGGGTTATAAATTATAACCTCCAATAGTTTTCAAAACTGAAGATGCTCTTCAGTCTTCAATGAAGACTTATGATAGTGTGAAACAAGCTATGCAAGCAGACACACAAGACTAAGGTGTAATCTTGAGTAGAAGGGGAGCAACTAATTGCAGATTTGCAGTTACACAGAAATAGTTGGGGGTGTTGGCAAAGTAGCAATCATATTTAGTACAATAACTCAAGAAACAACAGTCAAATTTTAGAATTCTATACTGATGAAGTGAATAGATCTATAAAGAGATTTCGTTAGTGTTTTTAAAGGAAATATTAATACATGATGGATAAATTTGGACTCTAGACCATGCATAAAGGTGACATAGTCATAAAAGAAAGAAGGGATTTCAGGATAAAGAGTAAAATATGAAATAGAAAACACTAGCTGATTCAGAGGAATGTACAAGAAGCGCAAATGTAAAATATGGAGCCATCTATTTCCATCCAAACCAAAGCAAAATTATATCCAAAACGAAAACATAGCTACAAAACTTAAAGTAGTTTCAAGTAAGGAGTATGTTAAGTAAAATTAGTTACACTTTTGTCTTTTATCTGCGTTGATAACATCGAACTTGAATCCTGCAGACTATCCATTCATTGATTGCTCGAGCAGGAAGAAATAAGAAACAGTGGTGCTGAGATTCACATACGTGACTGATAAGTGAAAAATCTTCATATTGTTATCTTTAAGAATGATACAGGAAGGAAAAGAGATAGGAGTTGGACACATGGCAGTGCTAGCAGCTTATAGAATGTGTTACAT